CCCCGCTTTTGCTCTCATCAATAGTGAACAGGTTTTACGCTCGCAATCGACTGAGCGCGGTCCAAGGAAGACACTTTGCTCGCCGCAGAATCATTTCAGAGGGCGATCTGTGGAAGAGATTTGATCATGGCGCTGATGGCGTCGTGGCTTGGAAGGCGGGACGCATATGCAAATCAGGCCCGGGTATTATTGGGAAGTGTGCGTCCCGCGTTAAACATCAAAATTATTCAAACAGCCCCCCCGCACACACACACATACACATTCGGATTTGTTGCGAAGACGCAACGTGACATGGTAAGTACTGAACAGGTATGATCCCCGACCGACACCAAAGGACTCGGGATCATCTTTCAGAGACGCCCGGAGAATCGGGCCTTTGGCGTGATTGACGGCAAGAGGGAAACTGCTGAAATTGGGGCCCACGGCGGGTCTGTCACTGCGGGGCCTCCGGCGTCAGGTCAGTCTGGAGTCGGGACGGAGCGGGTCCTCCTGCGCTTCTTGTCGCCTTCCCTGCGCCGGCCCAGCCTGGCCTTTTTTTTCCTCTTGGTGGCCACCTTGAGCGGCTGGTCTTTGTAGGCCGACGCCTTGTGGGTCTCCTGCGGCAGGACGGGGCCTTCGCGCTCCGGCCCGAACCTGTGGGGCAGGTCCTTGGTGGCCTCGGGGGGCTTCTGGCGGAGGTCGTTGCCGCTGAAGTCGGGCGAAGCCCCGCCGCCGCCGTGCGCGGGCGGCGCCCGCTCCTCGGCCGTGTGCACCTCCTCCAGGAGCTCCTGCAGCCACAGGCGACGCTTCAGCTCCTGCATGCTGCGGCCTTTGTCGTGCATCAGCTGGGCGTGGCTCACCGACCGCCGCCTGCCGGCAGAGGGCCGCGTTGGCTCCACGTTGGCTCGACGTTGACGCGGACCGAACGCTCGCGGCGGAGATTCGGCGCGTTGGCTCCCGCCCTCGCTCGGTTCCGCGCCCGACGTACGCCGTGACGCCCGTCGCGGGTTACTCAGTCACGCCGAACTCAATTCGGTTTGCCGTTTGGAGTCATTCGTATTCTCGTTTGCATCGTACACAGGTTCGAGTTTTCGTGCCTTTACTTGGAAACGACACCTCATGGAGAAGCGCGAGGCACAAGGCGCACCGAATTCAGCAGCGGTCGAAAGGCATGCCATTTTGAAGTCCGATTTCAAAAGCGCAAACTCTGCCACGTACAAGAGTCCATTTGTATTTCTCTGGCCGGTTAGCTACACGCGACCTTGGCAAAACGAGAGGAATCAAGAATACGAATGAGAATTTCTCTTTTCGTTTGCATGCCACTCGTGCTGAGAAGAGGCCAAATCGAAATCCGTGAACGAGCTCTCAAAAGAACGTCGCTTTGGGGAACATTTTGACCCCGCCGCAAAAGAACGCCAACCGTAACGGGGAGAAGAATTTTGCCAGGTTAAATTCGGTGTTTCAACAACAATTGTCTCAAACAAGCGTGTGGAAAACGTGTT